CCCAGGTTGTACTGACGAGAATGTAGGTGATTAGTTCTTCTCAGAAGTTCTTGCAATATTATACCCCCGTCTGTACCCAGATCTCTGAATGATCTCTTACTTTAAAGTTTTCTGACTAAATTTTGTGTGCATTTTTCATTTCATTTATGCATGCTACATTGATGTGCTCACCCTAATGCAGCTGAACCCCCATTTAGCTCTTTAAAGAGTGGGATTATGGGGCCTAGTGGATCTGTGGCAGTAGTATTCTTCTGTATTAAATATACATAAAGTGTACAGTTATGCATATAGTCACGCATTTGAGTGTGACTACAGATGGGATTTGTATCAGTAATCAGATTTATTGGACACTTTAACACACAACATATTACTACACATTACAAATCACTGTTACACAAAATCATGTTCTTAGTCACAATCTTCACTACTCTGCTTGGCAACATCTTCCAACAGTGGACGTTCCTCTGCTTCTGGCCTCACATCTTGCAGGCTGGCAGCCATCTCACATGAACCTCAAGATTCTCCTGTAATGGTGGCCGGTACTTACTATATAGCCTCAGCATGGACCGCACAGAAAAGTCTCTTCCGTTATTACATATATGTATGTTGTGGTCATCACATGACAGCTACTGAGCCATTGCCTGGCAGTGGACATGTTTGCAGAGCCGTTCCCAAGCAACGGTTGTCTCTGCTGACTTGTTCCGGCTTTCAGCAGACATGCCACATTATATTCACTATGATATGTTAGCATTTGTCATGCATATGGCATGGTCGAAGTTCTCTCTCAGAGATGGCAGATGCCCTCAGAAGAACTTTAGTGGCAGCCTTCAAAATACAATGAAATATCTGTCATACTGTCCATGGTGTGCAAATTTTCATTATATTGGTACAGTCATACTCATGAAAACAGCCTCACACAACCTATGACTGTTGGAATTTAGCTAACTTAAAGATTTCATTACCTGGGACTTCGTTTTAAGGAACAAGATGAACAACTAGGTGGTAAACTTCTTTACTGGTGCTGTAACCCTGTGTTGTATAATCGTCCAATGCCGCTCTCCATTTATTTATTTATTTTTTTTTTTTTTGATTTTCATTTAGTTATGAGTATTAAAAATAGTATGTTACAGTAAGGAATAGTAGATGGACATAGACCTGTTTATGTATTTAGGTGGTTAAACCATTAGTTTTAACACACATGTAAGAGCCAGGCAGACCGGAAAACTCCCTGCTGAGTCTCCTTAGAATAGCTGGAATGACAGAAAGCGACCATGTCGAGAATTGTAAGATGACAAGCGTGAAGGGTCGTAAGTTTAAGAAAAGGGGGGGTTGTATTCGCTTTCTGACGCTTAGCCCAGAATACATCATTTTTGACAGCAAAGACGTTGGAGCAAATTTGGCTAAGTGTGGAGAAAGCTGACAGCCCATTGGAAATCTAGGAAGTTATGTAAATTCCCGTAGTTTAAATTGACCAATGAAGGCAAGATAAGATGTTTCTTGAATTCAGGAGAGCGGGAACCAAAGGGGACGCTATCCAGAGCGTCGGTTTTGAAAGTCAGTCGTTTACGATTCGTTGGTGTGCACGGACGTAAACTGAACGGTTATAAAGGAAATGGTGCCACAATAAACAAGAATAATATTGTACGTGTGCATTTGCATCTTCCCTGTGCTCTTCTGAGTTAAGGTCCTTTATTCGATCCTGAGGATAGAACTCCTTGCCCTACCTACTGGCTAGCATAAAAAAAAAAAAAAAACAGAACCCTGAGAAATTAAAGAGTGCTACGATAACAAAGAGAAGACGAGCGAAGCTGCAACAGGTAAGGTGACGCTGGAAGTTGCATCGCATCGCACAACAAGACGGAAACAGGTGAGAGAAGAAAGGGACGGGCATAGTTGGTCTTGGCCTCCTCCATTGTTTCATAACAGTAGATTTTTCTGGGTGGGATCATCAGCTCCACGCCCAATCCACTCCCTGGAGGACCAGGGACTACAGATCCTCTGGCCCCTACCTTTTGACCTTTCTAGCATGGGTGGCCCTACAGGGAGCTTATGATCCTATCATTGTAGCTCCCAGGGTCACTGGGGCACACAGACCTCTCCATGAAAAGGTAGTCCTCAAGAAGAAAGGAAGGCACTACACTTCATTGAAAGTGTGGGTTAGCCAGAGAGCTAACTGCAAGAGGATATGCAACAAATTGAAGTTGCTCACATCATCAGTGCTGGTATGACCCAACCCTTGTTCATTTTGAACCATCGTACCCATGTAGAGATACTGTTCTTCAGTTCAAGGTTTTCCCTCATTTAACAATCAGTAACATCATTGTGAAATTTCATCCTTTTAAGATTCTCTCCAGGTTAGTGCCTGAACCCACCACCCCAAGAAGAAACTTTAATTGTTAAAGAGCACAAGCAATTATTTTCAAGAGTAGAATAACTGCAGCAAAGCATCGCACAAAACTGAATGACATACAATGTCTTGCATGTGTTGCAGGTAGCAGAAATTTATTGCAATAAATACAATTATATGTGTGTCATTTATTTAATAACACTTTCAGGAGGTCAGATTGTACATTGTAAAATTTTTGGATGATTAATGAATAACGAATTCAAAAACTTATCGAGGGAAGCATTTGTGGCCCAATTTGAGGCACTAGCCTGGCGTTTATCTGGAGGGACAGAGGTAAACCATGAAAACCCTTAGATGCTACAGCCAGGTTCTGGAGCAAGATATGAACCCGAGACCTCCCAGATACAAAGCACCAGTAGTAACCACCTCACCACAACATTCAGTGTGGAACACAAAGAACTGGTCAGTGGGTACAGCTAGTTGTCTGGGTTGAATGTGCGCTGACCGTGGTACAGAACACAGAGGCTGCAGACAGGTGATAGCAGAGCCTACTATTTGGCACATCCAGGGACAGCTCAAGTTGTCATAGTGCCCTTTTGTAAGATCCACTTTTATTTTATCCTTTTATACTTTGTTCTTGATCTTCTGAATGACTGCTTTCCAAGTGGGTATTGTATTAATTTCTTGTTTCTCCCATCTCTGCTTTATGACTAGTCCATGATAACCTCTGTGACATGATTATTATAATAGTAGGTGAACTGTAGAGAGTGTCTTGTTCCTGCTGTCTTGGGTTCATGTGTTGTTCAGAACATCTATCACCATTTTTGTAATATGGAAGTTTTGTGTGTGTGTTTTTTCTTTTATCTATGGGGTACTGACATATTGACAATTACTCAAGTAACTTAAAACTTCATCTCCAGTTGTCTGCCACATCAGCAATGCCAGCTGTAGAAGTTTATTTGTAAAGAGCAAAACCCAGACCTAACTTTAAAAGGTCTTTAGATATTTATTTTTAGAAATGGAACCAAAGGCCTAAACTTGTGGGTTTGTTGTTGGCAGATTCTAAGATTAGGTTTTGGGTCTTGTTTCTACATGTTTATAATGTTTTCAGTGCTAGTGTGGCAGATGACATGGTAGTAAGTTCTTAAGTTAACACTGTAAGTAGCTCAGACTGTGAAGAATTTATTTTAGACGCAATTGTAATACACAATATGATATATGTGAACTGAACAGAAACAGTTATCCAGAGACTTGAGTTAGAGAATGAAGTTCCTTTTGTTTATTTTCTTTTATTGAAATAGAATAAAATATGGGTTCATTAAATTTTCACACATGCAAACTCTATTGCAAACAGCGAGGATTGGGCCTGTTGCCCTGTTGCTATCCCAGTTCTACATGAATTGATCCTTTCATGTTTCCAGGTAATGCCCTCCTCTCTCCCTGCCTGCAGCTTGTAGTTGAGCATCTGTCTTGGTATTCAATTCAGGCATTGTGGCACATGTTGAAAGTGTTTATATTGTATTTTATTCAGTTTCAGTCTCACAGTATATGCATAATTCTAAGATAATTATACAGTTTCAACATTATGACATGTGTGGGCTGCTGTTTCTGGTCGGCATCAGGCAGTACTCATGCAGTACCTCCCACCTCTTTCTGCTATCCTCCTTCCATTTGCCAGTGCTTACAGTTTGCAGGAAGGTTGTATTGTTTTTTACAATATAAGTTTTTTAGTTACAGACTTAAACAAATACTGTAAATTATATAAACTTTGCCCTAAAATCCTGAAGGGTATTTGTTATTCACAATACACATGTATTTCTGTATAATTTACAGTATTTGTTTAAGTCTAACTAAAGACCTGCATTGTAAACAACAATACAACTTTCCCCCATTTGTAAACATTGTCCAATGGAAGGGGGGATAGCAAGGAAAGCTGAGAGCGACTGTATAAGTACTCTCTGATGATGGCCAGAAATAGTTGCAGAAACACGATGTAGTGTATAAACCATATCCAGCAATCATTGCCATAGCTGGGTCTGAGGCTGCTTATGTTATCTTGCAGAACTTCACATTTAAAGTTGTTGTAGTTTGGATTTTAGGCTCTCTCAGCACCAGCTATGAAGATTTCTGTTTTGTAGAATGTGACACCATGTAGTCTGGTACAAGTCAACCTATGTTTCAGAGGAACATACTGCTTCCACCTTCATGGATGAAGAGTAATCACAGCAAGAAGCAGGCTGTTAGTGCCTATTCTTGTGATTTCATGACCACATATTGCTTGAGGTCCGTTACATATATAAAGCATATGAAGTGGAATTTGACTGAGTAATTTTGAATTGTAATTTGGCTTAATTTAATGCGATTATTGTAAAATTTACAGTATTATTGTTTTTCTCATTGTAATATTTTTATTATAATACAAATTTTGTTATTACAATTTTAGCTTTTCCATAATTTGGTGTGGAAATGAATTACATCGTGTAAGATTTGAGGTTTCAGCAGTGTAAGATTGTACCCCTCAAGGTTCTAGCACCATGTAGTTATGTGGGTGGCTGCCAGTTTTCCAAATGAACCTACTGCATCTTTCTTCAGATCAGAAGTTACTGCATAGTTCATTTCATCTGATCATGGAATGCATCATTTGTTGTTGCAGGGTGAAGTGGTCTATGTACTGAAGAGAATAAACCTTGGAGCAGAGGAAATCTGCAGTTTTGTAATAGGAGATGCCTGTGGTGATGTATATAACCCTTATCATGAGTGGAAGGTCATCTTCCCTCCTGTGCCGAAGCCTGTGGTTACTCCACCTGCAGCTCCTACAGTAAGAAATTGTGTTATGGAATATCAACAAGATTATTACATTCTCAGCTACATACAGTCCACAGTGGGACATATGCACACACGCCTTTTGGAATGAAATATGCCATTAAGTAGGTGAGAAAGAACTGATCACCAAGACAAGTTTAGCACTTGCACCAAACAGGCATAACTGGCAGTTACATATATACTTTATTATCCAAGAGGCTTTCCATGGCAAAGAGTCACCATTGTCAAGCTGGGTCTATGCAGAACATGACAAAAAATAGTAATTAACTCCATGGAACAGAATTGTTAAGAAGCCAGTAGTTGCTCAGCTAGTCAAAAATGCTGTCATTTTTTGGCGAGTGGAGGCACACCATTACTGTATTCACAAGAGTCTGTCACTATGCTCTGTTCTGATCCAGGTGAATTCAGTCAACATACTCATAACCTATTTCTTTAAGATGCATTTTAATTTTATCCTCCCATCTACGCAATGAATATCAGTTCGTTTTTTATACCTGTAGCTGATGTAACTGCACCTTGAAGATGGAGGAGTTAGCCTCCGTATACAGGGAATAGCAGCAGATATAGTGAATAAAGAGTTGCAGAGGACAAACAAGAGATGAACTCCAAGCCATTTTTTTATTTTACAAATACTTGATATCACATAATTCAATTTGTATGTGTGCACCTATGGGGCAATGTTGTGTTTCCAGCCTGGAGCTCCAACATTTAAAGTGCTTCACCTCTCCGACACACATTTTGATCCATACTACCAAGAAGGCACAAATGCAGATTGCAAAGAGCCACTGTGCTGCAGACTTACCAATGGACCTGCACGGTCACCCCAGACAGCAGCTGGGCGATGGGGAGACTACCGCAAGTGTGACACTCCAAAGCAAACTGTTGACCACATGCTCCAACATATATCTAGTACCCACCCAGTAAGTTACCATGCTGTGTTTACATGCAGTTATCCTATAATCTCTTAGTAATACGTCCATATGTATAGTCTGAAACACACTGATTGAAAATTACTGTAAGTCACATGTATGAAACTAGGAAAGTAAGAAGATATATAGTAAACCCTCACTAATCTGGACCGAAATATGGAAAATGGTGTTCCCAGTTGAGTATATACTTTGAGAGGCACATGGGATTTAGGAAGGCAGATGAGTCACTGTCAAACTTGACACTTTCTTCAAACCTGCATATTTACATTGTCATTTATTTACAGTTCCAAAAAAATCCATAGAGGCATCTGCCTCAGATACAGAACAAGTCAATAATACAATATAACATATAAATATACATACATAATCAGACATTCATCATCGTCAAAATACAACAAAACTACTGTACCATAATACATTCATAAATCAAAATAACATTTAAAATTACATACATGATTAAAATATATACATGAGGTGTCAATCTTTCTTCCAGCAGTAGTATTCTTCAACAGTATAAAAAGAACTGGTGATAAGAAACTTCTTTAACGCCACTTTAAATCCACGAATGTCATAAGATAATTGTTTAAGCTCTGGAGGGAGGTGGTTATAAAAAAACATTAAAAAACATGTAAAATTTTGGAGTTTTCTGTTGATGAATAAATGCAGTGTTTTATAATTTTTTACATGAAGGCTCTTCAGTGGTTTTTTTTATTTCTTTTCATCAACACTATTTATATCATTAAATCTTCCATTTATTTGTTGTATAAGTTTTCTTTTTTGTTATAGGGCTACCTTTGCTTCACTAATCTGGATTAATCGCTTGATCTGAATGACCTCTCCCCCGAGTTAATCTGTATTAGCAAGGGTTTACTGTATGTATATTGCTTATAGGGCTATGGCCCAGATGGTTGGGGTTTGAATCCTTGGAGGGGAAATATTTTTCTCTTCTTCACAGCATCCATACAAGTTCTGGGGCCCACCCAGCCTTCTGTCCAATGGGTACTGGAGGTAAAGTGACCAGAGCATGAAGCTGATCCCTCAACTTCATCTAGTGCTGAGGTTATGAATGGCAGAGCTATACCTCCACCCCCTATACTGCTTTATGGCATAGTGATTAATTAAGTGCAGGGACAAATTTACCTTTCGTTTTTTTACCTTAAATAAACGATCACAGGTGGAGATGAATTGTCTTTGAAACAACACTCAACTTTCTGTGGACTACATGGCATTACATCCCAGAAGGTAGACCCCTTTATAGCCACTGCTGTGAGAACCTAAAATCCTACATGCATTGAAATGTTTTTTGTTCTCAAGTTATGTGTGTACTGAAACATGGCACCCACCTTGTAGAAGTTGGAGAGGGAATATTATGTGAAACCTTACCTACTTTTGTAACACAATCTTCCACTGACTGGTACATTTAACATGCATACCGTTCAGCAGAGATTGCTAACCATTTTTGTGTGACAGGCAACTAGGAGAAGCTATCATTTATAGAAGGTGCCTTATGAATCTTCTGAAGTGGCAAATTGAAATAATTGGATTACAAATAACTATGTCCCTTTTGTTTTCATGTAAAGAAACTTTCTGAAACATTGTTTTGGCATACACTGTCTGATTAAAAATACACAGGTTTATATATACAGTATATAAGGCAGTGGAATTTGACTATGCTTTGCAACCATCTAAAGTGGTGTTCAGGTTTATATTATCACGTGATTGGTTGACTATAGACAGGGTTTGGATTGGTAATCAGATTTATTGGACACTTACAGAACGTAACTACAAATAACTACAACAATCTCACAGAGTTACACACTCCAGAGATCGCTGTAGCTGCAGCATACATGAAGTCTTTTCAGTCTTCACTAGCCGTTGCTTGGTAGCAGCTTCCAATGGTGGACGTTCCTGTTCCTCTGGGTTCCCAAACTGGCCCCAGCCTCGGCTATCAGCTGCAACTCTCAGCTGACTCAACTCAAAGTCAAAGTTATGACCGACGGTCAGTCTGCCAGTCTGTCTGGGCATCAAGCACCTATCTGGGGCCAGGGTCTAAGACAAGATTTTTATTACTATCAGACAGTTACATGTTTATTGATGCGGGGAACCTTCTCTGATGAGAGGACGGGTCAGTTGTTTACAATTGCTTCTGGTCCTTGCCAGCACAGTAATTCTTGGATTTGAGGGACTCATGACCATATTTTACTGTCTCAGATTTGAGACTTCCCCAGCCTGGAGGGCCAGGTAGGAAAGGAGAAGGGGAGAGAGGCAAAATGCAGGGTGTACCAGCAAGGTGTAAACTAAAGTGTTTGCTGTGCATGGCTCATTTTTGTCAGGTGTATCAGCCATACAATGTTCTGTATTTCATCTTTGCATTACCACATATCATGGTGCTGGCATGGCACTATGGTTCCTTTCAAATCCTTTCTAGCTCTTCACTCTCAGCCAACATCTGATTTGATGGTATTTAAACCTGCATCTAGATATAATTGTCAAGTAAACTAAAAAGTTGCTATGAAGACATTGCACATACTTTCTCATATTGAGGGCTGTACTGTTATTTTCCTGAAGATAACTAAATCTGCAGTTTTATTTAGTGATATGGCCCCAATAAATTACTGAAATTTAATCAAATTTTATAGAGTTGTTTTCTAGAAAATAACTTTTTTTTTTTTCAAAGCTGCTTGAAGAGCTCCCTACTTTTGGAGCTAGGATGTTCATATTCAGTGGACATCAACCCATGGGATCATCATCATCATCAGTAATCTGTCAAGACGACAGGTCCACAGTCTCTTTCAAAACAATTCCTCCACTTAATGCGATCTAGAGCTTTCTCCTTCAAATGACAGTATCCTCTTCTGTCCCCAAGGTCATCCAGCATCTTCTTACGTCTTCTTCCTCGTCTTCTTGTCACTTCTATCCGCCCATCTATCTTTCCTTCGATAGCTTCTTTTAGAAGGCAGTTTCTGCGTAAAACATGACCAATCCAATTAGCCTTCCGTTTTCTTATTTCATGTAGGATATTCCTCTGCTCACTGACTCTAATTAACACTTCTTCATTTCTCACATAATCGGTCCAACTGATCTTCTCCATTCTTCTCCAACACCACATTTCGAAACTTTCCAGATGTTTCTGATCTACTGCCCTAAGTGTCCATGTTTCAGCCCCATACAGAGCTATGCTCCAAATGTAGCATTTCACTAGTTTCTTCCTCAAATTTAAGTCCAATTTGCTGGTAAAAAGATTCTTCTTCTTGCTAAATGCAGCTTTTGCCATGGCAATCCTGGATTTAATTTCACAAGTACACCTTCCATCATCTGTTAACAAGCTACCCAAATATTTAAAACATTTCACATTCTCCACTTGTTTTTGGTCTATCTTTATTGTGACTGGGGTTGGTTGTCTCGAAATTTTCATTACTTTTGTTTTCTCCACATTCATTTCCATGCCATAGCACCTTCCAATTTCAATTAGTCTATCAATCATGCCCTGTAGCACAGTTTCTTCCTTAGCCATTAACACAAGGTCATCTGCATATTTCACAGTTTGAATAATTTGCCCTCCTACTTTGAAGTCACCGAGCCCATCCAGAGCTTCCTTGGTAAGGCATTCGCTGTACAAGTTGAACAGAATTGGTGATAAACAGCATCCTTGTCGAACTCCTCTTCCAATCTGCACACTTCCTGTCTCCCCCCTGTCCAGTCGTACTCTAACTTTCTGATCCATGTACAATTTGCTAATCAATCTTCTTTCATGCCAATCGATACCTGTTTCTTTCAGGATCTGCATTAATTTGGTCCAGTTTACCCGGTCAAATGCCTTCTGCCAGTCTATGAAGCAAACACACAGTTCTTCATCTATCTCCAAAGTTCGTTCCGCTATAATTCTCATCATCCCAATTGCATCCCTGGTTCCTTTTCCTCTTCTAAATCCAAACTGATCTTCTCCAAGTACATCCTCTATTTTCCTTTCAATTCTTCTTTTAAGTATCTTTGCTATTATCTTTGCTGTATGTGCAATAAGACTTATTGTGCGATGGTCGCTGCATTTTGTAGCTTTTGTCTTTTTCTTTAAGGCAATCATTGTAACTTCTGTAAAGTCCTTGGGCCACTCTCCACTTTCATATATGGTGTTCATTAGTTTTGTCAGTGTTTTCAAACCACCTTCTCCCAGTAACTTGAGCACATCTCCAGGTACATCATCATCTCCTGTAGCCTTTCCCTTCCTCATTTCCTTGATAGCTTTTTCCACCTCACTTTGTAAAATATATGGTCCTTTCTCGTCTGTATCTACTTCTTCTTCCGGTTCAACTTCTAAGGTTTCTGGCCGATTAGGTCGATCATATAGTTCTGAAATATAATTTTCCCAAATTTTCAGCACTTGCCTCTGATCTACTATTCTATTCCCCTGGGAGTCTTCGATGCCAACATTTTGAATCCCATGATTCTCTTTCCATCCTAGTTCTTTTGTCTTCATGTACATCAAATCATAACGGCCTGTTCTTTGAAATTCCATAATCTCATTACATATCTTCTCAAGATATTCCTTTTTGGCCCTGTCCGTGGCTCTTTTCAATTCATTCCTCAGTCTCCTGTATTTCCTCCTGCCTTCTTCATTGTTGACATTCTTCCATTTCCTTCGCTCCTCCATTTTACTCATCATCTCCTGTGTAACCCATGGTTTTCTTGCTATCTTCTCAACTTTACCTACCAAATCACTGATAGTATCTAACATGCATTCTTTTATATTGTTCCACTGCGCTTCAGCATTTCCGCTTTCACCTTCAATTGCACCGAGTTTCTCTTCTAGGGTCTCTTGCACGCTTTGTCTTTGAGCATATAACTTCTCCAAATCCCATCTGGGTCTGCGCTTTCGAAATCCTATAACTTTCTTCAACCTGGTTCAGAACTTGGCAACCAGCAAGTTGTGGTCAGAGTCAATATCTGCCCCAGGAAGCGTCTTCACATCCTTCACACTTTTTTTTCCTCTTCTTTCAGTTACTAGCACGGTGCACTTAACGCAGACAGATGGCAGCCAGAAAAATGCTGTCTTATGTTTAGGTAGTCTGAAAGTGTGCAAATCTCTCAGAATCTCAAGATTGATTTGTTTTTCTACCATCACACTAATTTCTCATAGCACTACCTGTATGAGGAGCCAGTATAGCGACTGACTATGGGCTGGATGACCGAGAGGTCGGAGTTCGAGTCCTGGTGGGGCAAGAATTTTCTGTTCTCCATGTCATCCAAACCAGCTCTGGGTCCCACCCAGTCTCCTATCCAAAGGGTACCAGGGGCTCTTTCCCTGGGGGTAAAGCGGCCTGGGCTTGGAGCTGACCGCTCACCTCCAAATAGTGCTGAGGTCAAGGAAACGTTCATCTGTACATCTACTCCCCCCAAACGTCTTCATGGCATTATGCCTAATTAGATAAGCACAGGGACAACTTTACCTTTTACCTTTACTACATGTATGAGAAAGCAGAAACAAAAACAGGCCGATAACTGGGGCACTTCAGATGCAGCATGAGTGGTATGTACTGTTCAGTGTTGTACTGTGTGTTGACAGGACATTGACTACATTCTGTGGACTGGAGATCTGCCCCCACATGACGTGTGGAACCAAACAAGGGAAGAGAATCTCATGGTGCTGAAAGAAACCGTAGCCCAGCTAACAGAAACCTTCCCCGGAATTCCAATATTTCCTGCACTTGGCAATCATGAGAGTGCACCAGTGAACAGGTGTGTCCATAGTGAGGCATTTTAGGCTTTTATATTGTTTTTATTTGAAAGGTAAAAAAACTTTGGAAACTAGCACCCAATACATTATTTTACAGTATTCCATGTGAGTAAAATCCATTTGTCTCTCCGCTTTTCTTCCTTCATTCCTCTGTCTCTGTATTTGTTTGCTAGGTAACTACACATAAGAGGTTTTTATGAATCATAAATCAATCACTGTCTGACTCCATGGTGGTGAGAGAGGAGATCCGTGACAGCCATGTCCTTTCATTTCTGGAACACGAATTTTATTGTTAGAGGAAGAATTGATGGTCTGTTTCCTGCAGTGCACTGTTTTTCACATGCCAATTAAAAAAATTGAAGTGTGAAATGGTGTTATAAAAGACTAAAGCAGTTCTGTTATTTAAGTGCAGTTTATGTTAATAAAACTGCAGAAATTTAAATGAGACTTCTCAATAGCTGTTTATGTAAATGGGAATATATACTCATAAGATTTTCATAAATAAGAAATGTTATTATTTTACAATTACATGGTGTTCTGAATGGAACAAAACAGTATATGGTGTAGACTGTATGTTTGTCAGATACACAGCTTTCATTTGAAACTTTTTCAGCATTATATTTAAAAAATATAAGCAAAATAAGACAGTTCTCTGCTCTTTGCTGAGCTTTCTTGACAGTGGAGTAGTATCTCCCATGCATTATGCATTTTTAGTTCTGCCATAAGATGGAAAAGGCAAAAATTTTAAAGCAGTTGATTTTTTATCTGCAATAATTGAGCATAAAGACCAAAGAGGACAGAAAACTTACAAAAGAAAAAGAATCTACATTTGGAAACATTACTCTCAACTGAAACACACATTTCTATTTCTTCCATTTTAACATACCAGATCTGGTCCACGCTGTATGCATTTGTGCCGGGGAAGTGTGGATGGCTGGAATAATGGTATCGTCCCTGACCAGTTCATGGAAACCTCTCATTCAGGCTTTGAAGAAACAGAGGAAGGTTCCCTTTAAGGGTGGGCTATGATTTGACCTTCCTGTATAGCAGGCCAGCAGCTGCCTCTGTTGTCTAGTGGTCAGTTTCTGGCCACAGATCCAGAGGTCCATGTTCAATTACCGGCACTACCAGATTTTCTGAGAAGTAGTGGGTATGGAACAGGGTCCACTCAGCCTCGTGAGGATAATTGAGGAGCTATTTCAAGGAAATAGCAGCTCCGGTCTCGAAAACTGAAATTAACGGCCTTGAGGATTTGTTGCACTGACCACGTGACACCCTCTATCTGCTAAAGTTGGCACTAACTTCGCCGACAAGCGGCAGTCTTTTGACTGGTATAGTTCACTTGTGGACTAAAACCACAGAGTTTGTTTCTTTGTTGTGTAGCACCCCTGAAAGACATTGGAGCTCAGATACACAGTCTGCTCCAAACAAAGGCTGCTACCACACTGTTTGCTGTATGGCCTTGGAAGTCATAGGGTTGATGGAGAGGAGAGGACAGGCTAATATGCCACCTTGCTGGCTGTTTCCAAGGCCACAGGGAGTTGGCAAAAAAATCAGTCCCATTATTTTGTAGCCGCTTGACATATATTCTATGCAACAAATTTCATTGAGATCCATAGAAACATTCATTCTTACCCCTTTTTTCACCACCTGATATGTCAGAACATCTGCTCATGAATAATTTAATCACATTCAGACTGAAACAGTTATTTGAGTTCTTGTAATGTGGACATGTTAGTTCCTTGTCTGTGACTGTATCTTCTGAAGGACATTCGGAACCTGATATCCAGGGTCCCCTTCATCCAGCTCAAGACAGTCTTGGATATTTTCTTGCATGGTTTCAGTTACTTGAGCTGCCCTCAACACAGTCTGAAAGTTCTCTTGCTCTGATCCCTCTGGCTCCTAAATTCCAGTACTCAACTGTGAACCTAATATTTCATTTTTCATTTCGAACAAGATTAATTGTAACTGGATTAGCAAGAGTTTATTGTATTTCCTTTTATTCCCCTGCAGTTGTGATTAATACCGAAAATTACAGTTTTTTAGTTAGCCTACTCTGAATAAAAGGGGTTATAAGTAAAAATAATGTTAAAGGGAAGCAGCATTTCCTGAACCCCCTTCTCCCAGCCTGTAATGGTGTAAGGGTGGAAAAATGTTTTCATGTGACCATCACTATACTTTGTTTTTGTGTCCAGCTTTCCACCTCCATTCATTCAGAATGACTTTGCTATCTCATGGCTATATGACGAAGTGGACGACCAATGGAGGCACTGGTTGCCATCATCAGTGTCCAACACTGTACGTCGAGGCGCTTTCTACAGTGTTCTAGTGAGACCAGGCTTCAGGGTCATCTCCCTCAACATGAACTACTGTAATAACAAGAACTGGTAAGCAGGGGCTCTCCCCTTCTGAGTATGATCCCCTTTTTCAGATTTCTATCCTGAATTTGCCTTAATACATGCAGAGCCTCCAATAGATGGCATGATCTCCAGCACCAAGACTCTTAATATAAATTTGACTTGGTTCATCCTGGTCCGTCACACTAGCAATAGTATACAAGATTATTAACCCGTTCCCGTGGTTCGACGTGTATGTTTCGTCAGGGATTTAAATCGTCTGGGGGGTTCGACGTGTATGTTTCGTCCAGCTGCACACCTATGTTATAACACCCATAATAATTGATGGTTTTGCTGTAGATTGTTAGATTTTT